ACTTACTATTTACTATCTCTTTGGCTTTGCCTCAAATCACATCCTGTCCGAACCTGTTTCTCACGTGAAACATAGGAATAATAGGTGGAGGATGTGACTGAATGGCAGAGTACTTGCCAACCATGCACAACTCCCTACATTCAATATTCAGCACTGAGGAGGAAAAATCAAAAGTAAAATGAGAATAATAACTTACTTTGCCGGGCTTTGGGGATGATTTTGTGTAAAAGTACATTTCATGGAGTATTCTGTGAGTGAATATTAACTATGGTTATAAATGTCTATATATTTTAATCTCTTCCAAAATAAATGTATATGGTACATTCAGTAAGTATGTATCAAAAACTGCACCAGTTCTGAGATTGTACTGTACATGCAAACTAACAAATTTACCTTATCATGGTTTCATGAACGCTATTAAAAGACATAGTATTCATGAGCTGTAGACAAAAACAGTATTAATGACATTGATGACAGGAGGCGATATACTAATATTTTTTCACTAGTTCTTCATGCCCTAATTCCAACAGTAAAGAATATCTCAAGGTGCCTGTAAATATAGTGATTTGTTTTCCATAATGGGAGCCGTATGCTGAGGAAATGGAAATCTTTTTTTTTTGGTACTGGGGATCGAACTTGGGTTCTTCCGCTTGCGAGGCAGGTGGCAGAACTACTGAGCTAAATCCCCAGCCCTGAAATCTTTTGAAAGAGAAGTAAAAATGTTTGGCATTGCTCCAGAAGGAAAGACTTTCTCAATTTCCCAAGTCTGTAAGAAAACTTTCCCTTCATTCTGAAGGACACTCTCAATTTGCCAAGAATGCCTGGTATACAAATATACTTGAAAAGACTTGCAGAAATGTGAAGGCCAATCAGATTATGATATGTGCTATATAATCAAAAGACAATTTTATGGTTTAGTTAATGAGTGTGAGCTATGATAGGTAACTGGGACTGGATTTACTCTTCTAGTAAGCAAGTAGAAAATTGAAAAAATAAGTATGATAACAGTTTTCATACTTTGGTCAACAGACAACAGAAAACTCAGATTCCTAAGAGATGGGAAATGAGCCAGCTACCCTCATTCTGGGCTTAAAGGGTGTTATGGCCCTCAGCGCAGGTGGGAGTATCTAAAACAGAGCCAGGCAGGTTGAAAATTGAGGAGACAGAGACAAGAGTTCAAGGAAGCTGGAGTGCCTCGCATTTTTAGGGGACAATACTCAAAAAGAGCACATAGAGAGAAAGTGTTAAAAATCTGTTCAGGGGTCCCTTTAGAAGGCAACTGAGTATTATGCTGCATATATATAAGATAGGACTCCATAAGGCTAGGTCAAAAAATAGTTAAGAGAAAGAGTTCATACAAAATTACAGTTAAATTATAAACTCCCAGGGCCGGGGATTTAGCTCAGTGGTTTCGTCACCTGCTGCGCAAGCGCAAGGACCCGAGTTCGATCTCTGGTACCAAAAAAAAAAAAAAAAAA